GAGCAGAAAGAGAGAGGCCAGCGAGTCCGCGGCTTCAAAATCCCAAAGTCAGTTAGTGCAGCTTTAAGACATCTGTTAGAACATTTTACATTTTTGTGGCAATTTCTCGGAATTCTACTGGTTTGAATAGGAGCAGTCAACTTACTATTAATTAAGATAATACAGCCATTCCCAAACTCAGTAACACCGAGGCCCCCTTAAAAATCTGACGGGTCTGCGTGGCCCCCCAAAATAATAACCAAGAAGACAACATTAAGAATAGGCTCTTCTGGTTATTTTATTTTGGGGAAATAGCCTCTGCTACAAACATTGTAATACAAAAATGATTACAGTGGATTATTGATGTCAAATAATGAACACAAATATTTTAATATTACAAACAAAACATTATAAATTTAACATTAAATAATTATATTATTTTTTTTATTTTTTTTATGACCTCCCGCGGCCCCCCTGCAGTACCCTCGCGGCCCACCAGGGGGCCGCGGACCCCACTTTGGGAGACACTGAGATAATAGATACAAAAATAATAAAGATAATACAAAATATATAGCTATTCAACTCTGGAGCTATAATTGCATCAAAGGTGAGTTCTCTTGAGTATAACTGTGGTTCTCAGTCTGCAGGTTTCACATTTACAGATGTTTGGTTTTGTTCTTTAGCAGCAGAGAATATGACCAGAATAACTATATTGATAGCAGCAGGGAAAGTGACTATAGTCAATACTAAAGTTATGAGTGAATTACCGGCACAGATGAATGGCACAGGCTCAGCAGTTCTCGTTGTACAGTCTGACAGCCGCAGATTGGCAAAAGAAAGAGGAGAGACATGAGAAAAGAGACAATGCAGAAAACTGAAGGCTGCTTTTGAAGAGACTGAAGCAGCTCACATTAAACTGCTCCAACTGTCTGCAGGATTATTCTCTTCTCTGTTAAAGCGGTTCTTACAGTATTTTGTTTAGTTTTTGTTTTCATCAAGCTGTAAACAATGTAGATCCAAAGGCCTCACTTTGCCATGAGTCTCACATTTGAAGTATTACAGAAATAAACAAACTATTTCTTAACAAATTTAATAGAGCCACATGTGACACATGTAGCTCCCATGATGCACTGGTTACTGATGCAATCCACCTTCTGCGGTTTAGCTAGAAAAGACTTTGTATCTGGTTTTATTGAAATATGTGTGGTGCAATTCTTTGTGTGTGTATTTTGTTTAAGAAGAAAGAAAAGAACAAGCTAAAATTCACCTTCACAAACTGACACCCGACATGAGAGTCCCATTCTGCGCTCTGATTGGACAATCTGCTTGAAAACATGTTATTTTTAATTAAGAATCTACTTTAAACTGTTCAGAAGAGGTCTGATATGAAATGTGTGACCTGTTTTTTGGAGACACATCTGTCTTTAACATACAGACCGTTGTTATGTATTCACAAGGTCATCACCGTTTTTAGATTTTCAACCCTTTAATGGTTTGCGTTTGGTGGATCACTTTTTGAGACTGTACTGTGTCTACTTGGAACTGAAATCTACCTCTTTGGGGCATCTTTACCACTTAGTTTGAAACACTTTTACCATTAAACTGCATCTCAACCATTTTTTGTAGTGTCCTAAACATTCCAAAACTTAGTGCTCTTACATCAATTCAATTCAACGCAATGTATTCTCTTATTGCCCTAAATCACGACAGTAGTTATCTCGGAGGAATTAACAAAACCATTTAATTCTCCAACACAGATTAGGGAGCCATTGGTCGATAAAAAAGCAGAGACTAATGTCCATAGTTGTTAATAAATGTCCATAAATGTTGTTGAATGTCGTTTTAGTTAGACCAAGACAGGGCTCTAACAGACCCTCGGCAAGGAACAATTCTAAAACCCAGTGGGAAAAGGTGCTACAGAACGAGGACAGACGCAATGCAGGAAAAAAAAAAAAAACATACATATATAAATACAAAACTTAAGAAAATGCGTTTTACATTATTACCCATTGAAAGGCAAGATGGCCGCCACATCTGCTGCTCCCTCTGGTCTCTCTTCCACAACACTATGGTTAATATGTTTCATTATGAGCACGCAGGCAGTTGGTCAAAGATGTTCGTCGGTTTTACATGGCGTCCCAGATGATTTGAAAATGAAATGCTTTGTGACTCCGCTGGCCGTGACAAAACTGACCACCGATTCACGCCCGTCGCGCCTTCCATTGTCCTTTGGGAAACCACTCCATTTTGAGCGTATTAAAATGTGCAATCTTTTCCATAACCAAAGTGAACGTCGCACAATGAGGAGTGACCGAGGCGCCTTTTCTGGACACGCTCCCAAACAGAATGCGGTTTAGTGGCGACCGCGGCGGCCTTTCGAGCAGCGAAACGGCGAATCAAATGTGACTTTCATATGCAAAGCCAGAGGCGGAGGTGCAGACAGGCAAATTCAGAGCGGGCGGCCATGTTGGGAAGGTCAGCCGCTTCTTAACGAATGGTGTGGACCTCACGGCACATCTGGCGTCGATGGAAGAACGCGGTCACAAATGAAGTGGAATATGAAAATTCTGGAATATTCAGGTGTTTGTTGATGGTCGACTTACAGCACTTTAATAACAATATTTAATAAAGTTGATTTGTGTAAAAGCAGCGACTGAAAGCAAAGATATTCTATTGTTTACTCTAATGGAACAGGTTTTTCAGAAGGTTATAATCCGGGATCACTGAACCCCACGATCATATTCATCGCTTTTATTGTTTTTCCCTCTTTATACCAACATCTCTTGTTAAGATAGTGAGTAAGTAAGTAATCTTTATTTATATACCGCCATTCACAGACCAGACCAGCACTTTACAACTGTTGTTTTTTAGGCATTTTGTCTCTCACTCCTCACAGAGATGGGCCTGAGGTTTGATATATATTGATTCATATTTATATTGCGGTTTAAAGCTTTGATCAGATAGAACTGGTACAGCTCATAAAACCCTCCTTGGGAAGCACAAAAACATTAAATATAGTGTCCATAAATATATACAAGAACTCAATAAAAAATAAAAAAGATGTTTGAAGCTCATTATTCTAATGCTCTAATGTCTAATGCTCACACTCATCAGAGTCAGGGGCAGATTATACAATACAATACAATACAATTTACAAAACAATTTATTCTTGTATAGCCCTAGGTCACAACAGAAGTCATCTCAGAGGACTTAACAAAACCATTGAAATCACCAACACAGGTCAGAGAATCAACAGTTAACACATGGAGAAAATAAAGCACACACAGAAGAAAATGTCCATACATGTTGTAGAATGCTAAAGTGTCCTGATCATCACCAATCCTTTCTGTTGGACACTAACTGTCCAACAAGACCCTCCTGCATCGACAAGGAAAAACTCTTAAAAAACCCAGTGGGAAAAAGTGAGAAACCTTGGGGAGAACTAGGGAAACCCACAGGGAGGGAGACCCATTTGAGAAAGGGATCCGCTCCTCCGGACGGACAGGCTAATGATCCAGGACCTAAGCTAGCTACAGAACGTGGACCAGTGGCCGCTGAACGTGGACAGGTCCGGTGCAGGACTGAAGCACTCCCAGGCGGGTCGGGCGGGGCAGTCCGCAGGTGTAGATGGAGGAGGCCAGGTCCCGAGGTCCCGTCATCGTACCATGAAACAGACAAACAAAGTAGTAGCTGGCCAGGGACTATAAGTGCTCTAAAAAAAGTTAAAATAGATATATTATTTTTGTTTTGTTTTTTAAAATATTTTTTTCTGGTAGATTTTTATGAAGAGAATGGATGTTTGTTTGTATTGAACCAAAACTGGACCGAAGGCAAAGAAGACTCGTCATTATCAATCATTTATTTGTTTCATTAAACTTTATCTAATCACATGTTGGGTTCAAATGTCAGAATATATTAGATGTATTAGTCAAACCATGGTTAGACCTAATTTATTTTCAACTGTAGACCAGTTCTCGGGCTACTGAAAATGGTGTGAGCAGTGGGCACTTTGAAGCAACATTATATAACTATATAATTATTATATAACTAACTTTGTGGTTATGCAAGCCATAGCTGAGATGTATTCAATATGGCTGCTTCAGAGATCTGAAATGTCTTCTCCTGTTGTCTTCGTGACTCGGTTTGAGGCATACTGCAGGTTGTTCAGAGATTAGAGAAAGGCCATAAGACTTTGCAGAATATTGAATTTAGACAGAAGTATTTCTACAGAAGGGGCGGGGGGGACCATGTTTAAGTCAGACATTCCTGAATGCTACAGTATTTTGTAACTGGACATAGTACTCTCCCCACTCTGCTTCTGTCAGTCCACACTTAACCGGGAGTTTGAAGATAAGATAAGATCCTTTGTTCGTCCCACCGTGGGGACATTTCTGTGTTAGTAGTAAGAAACACAGGGAGCACACAAAATATACAATATACAGTATGAGTAGCTGCTTTTGTTTCAGATTCAGATTCAGATTCATTTATTTGCCATTTGCAGTAAAACCACATTGGAAAAACTGTGCAAGACTACCCCAGTGTGCACCAGGCGGCACACACCAGAGCTCTTGCCACGGCGGCATCTTTACGGCGCCGTGGCAAGAGGTTTTAGCTAGCTGACAATACTTAAATATCAATATATATGGATATATCTCTATCTATCTATATTTACAGTGCAAAGTTATTTACATATCTGGCAGGATAATAAGTAGATAAAGTGACATTCAGTGGACATTCTCACACTGCAGGATTGCACATGATTGCAGTATTTACAGATGAATTTCCATGTACAACAGTTCTCATTGTACAGTCTGACAGCAGCAGGAAAGAAAGACCTGCAGAACCTCTCCTTCACACAGCGAGGGTGAATAAGTCTGTCACTGAAGCTGCTCTCCAGAGCAGAGAGAGTGTCCTGCAGGGGGCGTTGATGAGGAGGTGGTTCCCCTGACACCAGTCCACAAAGTCCTGTGCTAGTTCTCTGTACTCTGCGTTGTCTTCACTGTGTGTTCTGTGTCCTGCAGGAGAGGAAAGCAGCCCTGAGAGCCTGCTGCTGCACGGGCCCTTCTCCCGGAAACCCAAGCGCATCCGCACGGCCTTCTCCCCTTCACAGCTGCTGCGTCTGGAGAGGGCCTTCGACAAGAATCACTATGTGGTGGGAGCCGAGAGGAAGCAGCTGGCATCAGGCCTCTGCCTCACCGAAACCCAGGTACCATCACACCACGGGTCACCACCAGGGGTACACCAGGGCCTACTGATGGGACAGCAGGGCACACCAGGGCCTACTGATGGGACAGCAGGGCACACCAGGGCCTACTGATGGGACAGCAGGGCACACCAGGGTCTACTGATGGGACAGCAGGGCACATCAGGGGCCCTACTGATGGGACAGCAGGGTACACCAGGGTCTACTGATGGGACAGCAGGGCACACCAGGGGCCTACTGATGGGACAGCAGGGCACACCAGGGCCTACTGATGGGACAGCAGGGCACACCAGGGCCTACTGATGGGACAGCAGGGCACACCAGGGGCCTACTGATGGGACAGCAGGGCACACCAGGGCCTACTGATGGGACAGCAGGGCACACCAGGGCCTACTGATGGGACAGCAGGGCACACCAGGGCCTACTGATGGGACAGCAGGGCACACCAGGGCCTACTGATGGGACAGCAGGGCACACCAGGGGCCTACTGATGGGACAGCAGGGCACACCAGGGCCTACTGATGGGACAGCAGGGTACACCAGGGCCTACTGATGGGACAGCAGGGCACACCAGGGTCTACTGATGGGACAGCAGGGCACATCAGGGGCCTACTGATGGGACAGCAGGGCACACCAGGGTCTACTGATGGAACAGCAGGGCACACCAGGGCCCTACTGATGGGACAGCAGGGTACACCAGGGCCTACTGATGGGACAGCAGGGCACACCAGGGGCCTACTGATGGGACAGCAGGGCACACCAGGGCCTACTGATGGGACAGCAGGGCACACCAGGGGCCTACTGATGGGACAGCAGGGTACACCAGGGGCCTACTGATGGGACAGCAGGGCACACCAGGGCCCTACTGATGGGACAGCAGGGCACACCAGGGGCCTACTGATGGGACAGCAGGGTACACCAGGGGCCTACTGATGGGACAGCAGGGTACACCAGGGGCCTACTGATGGGACAGCAGGGTACACCAGGGCCCTACTGATGGGACAGCAGGGTACACCAGGGGCCTACTGATGGGACAGCAGGGTACACCAGGGGCCTACTGATGGGACAGCAGGGTACACCAGGGCCTACTGATGGGACAGCAGGGCACACCAGGGCCCTACTGATGGGACAGCAGGGTACACCAGGGGCCTACTGATGGGACAGCAGGGTACACCAGGGGCCTACTGATGGGACAGCAGGGTACACCAGGGGCCTACTGATGGGACAGCAGGGTACACCAGGGGCCTACTGATGGGACAGCAGGGTACACCAGGGGACATCTAACATTTATGGGTGTCTCAATTCTCTGATTTGTGTTGGCAAAGTCCTCAGACAAACTACTGTTGTGATTTAGAGCTATACAACAGTGTCTTCAGACCTCTGCAATGATTGTGAAATGAAAAGAACTAAATGTGCTTTAATTACAGCTTTAATTTGTTTCTCCCACGTTTTGACAAATAACAAAGTAATGAGTCAAACTTCACTTTTTAAAGGGTAAGCAGCAGAACAGACTTTTCTCTGTCAAAGCTGTTTTAGAGCGATCCGTCATGTTTGACTTTGAGTTATATTCTCTGCACGAGAAGCCTTTGTGTCTCTTTCTTTACGACATAATTTTACTTTTGCACTTAATATGTCATCATGAGTCTGCTCGAGGCCCTTTAAGTGGCTCCTCCCTGGCTTTACTGGTCGCAGAAAACGTGTGTAATCTGTAGAGTGAGTTGTTTCCAGGTTAGGTTAACAAAATCCTCTCACAGTGTCAGCAGGATACAGCATTTTTACACACGTACTCTGGTTCTTCCACCAAATCTGACCAATTGATCTTATTCCCCAGCCCTGATAAACTATTTCAGGAGTTTTACACAGTGACACATGTGTAAATATAACAATGTTTTAATTGTTTGAATTACTTTAAAAGGTTATAACTCAAAAACTAAATGTTCTATCTTAGATTAGAAGAAAGATTTTAAACACAGACATATTGAAGATAAATTGTGGATGAAATCAAACGGAAAGATTGACAAATACATTTTTAGCGAAATTTTAAACTCAGATTAACCTCTGATTTGACCATTCTGTGACTCAGTGATATAGAAAAGAAAAGCTCCTCAGTTTGAAAAAGCCACAGATGAACTCACACAGGATTAACATTACACAACATCAAGAAATCACTTGATTTTAAAAGGAATCATTTAAAAAAATAATTCAATAAAAATGAAAATGTCCCTTGAAAAATGTGTAAAGAACGAGAGGATTTCTGTCAATTTTTATCTAAAAATTAAACTTCACATTTAGTTGGTTTACTAAATGAAAGTATCACTTTGTTTCCACTCTGTGTAAAAAAAAAAAAATCTGGACATCTGAAAATATGTAACAAACGTCCGCAGCTCATTCCGTCAAATCATCAGGTCTGTTACAAAAAATAAACAGAGCCGCTTTAGGAAACTAGAATAATTATGTAGAATAGTTTTGGCAACTTCTTACCAGTGTTGTGCCAGTTCACAGCTTTTCTGAACTAGTTCAAGTTCAGTTCATACATGCTCAAAGTGAACAGTTCACGTTCAAAGTTCACATTTTTAATTCTGAACTAGTTCAAAGTTCAGTTCATTTTACTTTTTTTGTGAAATAGTCAAATACTTTTTTCACACTACGAGCTATAATATATGTACACCCACAGGAGGAGAACCTTTTGACCACAAAACAGACAAGATTTACATGGTTTTCAATGGGAGCCAAACGGAGTTGCTCCATCTGTGCTCATAAACTACAGACAGTAATGCGCTGCAGTGCGTGTGTCTATACTTTATGTCAAATGTAAACGGTGTAAACTTTGTCGCTAACTCACCCTGTGTTTTCATCACGACTCGGGCACATGTGAAAAGCACCAGCTCACAGCGCCGCACCGCAACACTGAGTCAGGGTGCGTTCACAGACGGTGGAAACCGTAGGAATTTTTAGATTTCGGCGGAAAAAGTGCAAGAATACATAGTTCCCACAGACCAATGAATGTCACATGACCTCCTCGGAGACGCCATCTTTGATGGCTCGCTGCTGTGTTTGTGCATTCCATTAAACAGAAGAATGAGAATAAATGTAGATATTCAAACGCAAATTGGAAAAAAAGGGTAACTTTTGAGCAAATAATTGTATATTAATACAATGGCACCACAGTTTAACGTGCTACGGACATGTTTTACATATTTGATCAAATTATGCAGCAAAAATTAACAAGCAATGCAAACATTTCTCAAAAACTTTAGATTTAATACCAGTTGGAGCTCCATTTAATTATTTTAATTATATTAACAATTAATTTAATTAATGCTAATGCCACACGGACACTCTGGATTGCTGTTATTGTTTATTTCCGCGTTTTTGACCGTATGTTTTGGTGAATGGTGGGCAACTGATTTTTCCAGGCGTAAAGAGCAGTTTATTTTATGACACAGATCTTTTTACAGAAGCAATGCTGTTTGTGAACATTGTTTTAGCCCACCATAGAACTATTATTATCTATTTAATACATTTACGTTGCCCTCGAGAGCCTCGGACGCGACACCGATCCTCCTCATAACAAAGTAATCTAACGCTAAATAATGAAACTCTCAAGTTACCAGATATCAGCATACACAAGTTAGTACTGAGTAAATTACGTCTGTCAACACATTATAAGATACGATACGCACCTGACACAAAGTGCTCCGAGCATATTCTTGCGTGTTTTGAGGGAGTTTCTTGCCTGTTTATCTTCGCAAGCCATAACCTCCGTGGTTGTTCTGACAAAAGCTTAGTCTTCTCACATTCATGAAGTCTAATGATCGGTATACTGTAAAATCCAAGTTTAACGGAACCTCCGGCACGATTTGAACATCCATTGACCCAGCAGGAGATGACCATTTTCAACTTTATCACGACATTAACACGTTTCAGCTTCTTTTTCTATTGTTTTGCCCACAGAATGCCAAGACAAATGTCGCCGGGTCGGCAAATCCCCGTATGTAGTGACGTCATGTGGGAACTATGTATACAGGAGGGAGGAACTTTCTCTCGTTGCGTTTTAAAAGAGAAAACAGATTCCAACGTAAAACTCCACATAACACATAAAATGAACTAATTCACGTTCAAGTTCTTTTTTTAAAAATGTGTTGCGTTCAGTTCAACGTTCACAAAAAAATGAACGCGTTCTTTTGAACTCGTTCACGCACAACACTGCTTCTTACAGACAGGAGGTGTTTGGATCCATGAAAAACATAACATTTCTTCTGATCATTAAAATCTAAGTTTTGGCCTTTGTCACTCTTTTGTACTCTTTAGTGTCAACAAGCCCAAAGAAACACTGTCAAATACATAGTGTAGTGTATTATGTGTAGTAGCAGCAGTAGCAGTAGCAGTAGCAGTAGCAGCAGTAGCAGCAGTAGCAGTAGTAGTAGTAGTAGTAGTACTTATGGACCTGGTGGAGGTTTGGAGCCTCGGCTCGATCTCTCCTCTGGGTTCTGTTTTGTATCTTGTAGCTTTGGTCTATAAATAAATATAATCATTGATCATCATAATTATTGGTGCAGAGAATATATGGAAATGCTGAAACAAAGTCAGTTTGACCAAAAATGACTACTACTACTACTACTACTACTACTACTACTACTACTACTACTACTACTACTACTACTACTGCTGCTGCCGGCCTTGTAGCTGATCCGTCGGCACATGTTGAGAGTGATGTGAGTGACAGTAAATCCTTCTGTACAGACTGTGTTTATGGAGGCGCTGTCAGAATGATTTACAGCTGTGTCTCTGCACCGTGTCCCGCCTCACCGTGTCCCGCCTCACCGTCATAACCACACTCACCGTCATAACCACACTCACCGTCATAACCACACTCACCGTCATAACCACACTCACCGTGTCCCGCCTCACCGTCATAACCACACTCACCGTGTCCCGCCTCACCATCATAACCACACTCACCGTCATAACCACGCTCACCGTGTCCCGTCTCACCATCACAACCACACTCACCGTGTCCCGCCTCACCATCATAACCACACTCACCGTGTCCCGCCTCACCGTCATAACCACACTCACCGTGTCCCGCCTCACCGTCATAACCACGCTCACCGTGTCCCGCCTCACCGTCATAACCACACTCACCGTCATAACCACACTCACCGTGTCCCGCCTCACCGTCATAACCACACTCACCGTGTCCCGCCTCACCATCATAACCACACTCACCGTGTCCCGCCTCACCGTCATAACCACACTCACCGTGTCCCGCCTCACCGTCATAACCACACTCACCGTGTCCCGTCTCACCATCAACCACACTCACCGTGTCCCGCCTCACCATCATAACCACACTCACCGTGTCCCGCCTCACCGTCATAACCACACTCACCGTGTCCCGCCTCACCGTCATAACCACGCTCACCGTGTGTCCCGCCTCACCGTCATAACCACACTCACCGTCATAACCACACTCACCGTGTCCCGCCTCACCTCATAACCACACTCACCGTGTCCCGCCTCACCGTCATCACCACGCTCACCGTGTCCCGCCTCACCATCATAACCACACTCACCGTCATAACCACGCTCACCGTGTCCCGTCTCACCATCATAACCACACTCACCGTCATAACCACGCTCACCGTCATAACCACGCTCACCGTGTCCCGCCTCACCATCATAACCACGCTCACCGTGTCCCGCCTCACCATCATAACCACACTCACCATCATAACCACACTCACCGTTATAACCACGCTCACCGTGTCCCGTCTCACCATCATAACCACACTCACCGTGTCCCGCCTCACCATCATAACCACACTCACCGTGTCCCGCCTCACCATCATAACCACACTCACCGTGTCCCGCCTCACCGTCATAACCACACTCACCGTGTCCCGCCTCACCGTCATAACCACGCTCACTCAGTCCTCCGTCTGAGACTTCTGATGTGTCTTGGGGATAAAGTCTACCAGTTTTTACTTTCAAGCTGACGCCCCATTTCGAGCTGACACATTGTCAATTGAAATACATTTGTACATTTGTAAACACATGTTGAAGTTGTAACTATACCAACACGTGGTAAAACTATGGCAAAAACTGTTACTTGATAATAATGTTTATTTAGAAGAAATAAGAAGGAGCGCCATCGCAGGGCCTTTATCCCCACTGCTGTCAGACTGTACAATAAGTCACTTTGAGTCACTTGCACTAGGACTGAAAAACCTGCACTACTATTGACACTGTTTCTTTAATTGCATTTAACATGTTGCACATTTCTTTCTTTTGCACAAATCTGAGTGATTCTATCCATGCCAGATCTGACATGTACATTGCCCTGTGTGAGATCAATAAAGTTTATCTAATCTTATCTTATGTATTTATATTTGCATGTATATACTGTAAGCGCAGTAGGCAACACAACAATGTACAAACGTTCTCCGTAAACTAAGGAATGTAAATATTATGAATGTGTAATTTATGTAGATTTTTATGAAGATTTTTATGAATTCTTGATGTTATTCTGCTTGAACTTGTTTGCACCGAGAGCCAAAGATATTTCCTAGTTTGTGACTTTTTGTTACTCACATGGCAATAAAAGGATTCTGATTATATTTTCTGTTCGACGTAATGAAATCAATCAATCACAATCTTTAAAGGAGATAGATTATAAGGCACTTTCACACAGGCCTGGCTCTCCCCAGTCTTTCTGAGGAGGAGAGAATGTAAACAGCAAGAGAAACGGCATCCTTCTTCCACCAGACGGCCTGTTTCCTCTGCACAGACGAGCTGAATCCAAATCACATTATTCAGATTTAGATTCATTTTATTTGCCATTTGCAGTAAAACCACATTGGAATACATGTGCAAGTACCCCAGTGAGCACCAGACCAGAAGTACATCAATAAAACAGGTTAAAAGTTCAGGATGAAAACAAAAAGTACAAGAAAGATTTGTGTGCAAGATTAAAGTGCTTTCTTCAGACTGATAGCTGCTAGCATATCGACATGTCTTGCATCTCAGCAATAATGTCTGATGTCAGAGGGAAGAAGCTGGAACATGGCTTTTTTATATTCCAGTTTCTGCTCATGGACTTTGTGTATTTTAGTTTGGATTCGTTTGTGAAAAAGTCTGATCAGATTAACACAGCGATAGTGTTACGTCAAATGGCAGGACGTGAAAAGGGACTATGGTGTCTCTTTGTCACACACACACACACAAACAGGTACACGCACACACACACACGCAAACACAAGAACGCAAACACACACATACACACGCAAACAGGCGCACACACACACGCACGCACGCAAACACACACACGCAAACACACACATACACACGCAAACAGGCGCACACATACACGCACACACACGCAAACACACACATACACGCACGCACACACACACACGCAAACACAAGAACGCAAACACACACACACACACACGCAAACAGGCGCACACACACCCTCACGCAAACACACACACACAAATACACACACACATCTATATAAGCACACAAACACACACACGCTCAAATACACGCATGCAAACAGGAACACACGCACACACATATGAAAACACACACGCACACAAATAAACAAACACACACATGCAAACAGGCACATACACACACAAAAACAGGCACACGCACATAAACACACACACGCACAAACAATACACAAACACACAGAGACAAATACACGCACGCAAACAGGCACATGCGCACACACACTCAAAGATACATGCACACACACACGCTCAACCACACACACGCTCAAATACACACATACAAACCGGTACACACACACACATACTAAAACACACACACACACAAATACACGCACAAGAGCAGGTACACACACACACACAGCAGTCACACACACGCAAACAGGCACACACACACACACAAATACACGCACGCAAACAGACACACGCACACTCAAACACACACGGGCATACACACACACACAGTCAAACGCACACACACTGCGTTCATGTTGTAAATATCAGTGCGGTGAATCACACCAGCTGTCAATCAAACCCCAGCCACGAGACGCCCACCTGTCAATCACACGCCACACCGCTCTGGACTCCAGCCAATGAGCTTCGAGAACAGCCGGGCCGTTGAAGAAGTGCGTTTGTGATGTTTTACTGTGACGACTTGTGGCACACAACTCCTGCTGAAACAGTTTAACATCAGTCAAAAGACAGTTTGTGACAAAAACTGAAATGATACAGGAAGTAAAGCTGCGCTCTCGGATGGGATTCCCTCCTCGTACAAGAAGCTGTACACTGCAAAACAAAACGTGATAAAAAATAAGTCAAAAATTGCTCAAAATTGGCTAAATGTATCTTAACTTGAGAACATTGTGACTGCCTTAAAACAAGATTCCCCAATGGGACAAACAAAATGATTGTGTTTTAAAAAGATACAAAAAAATGTCTCCCTTGGAATGAGAAAAAAAGCAAAATAATATTAATAATAATGCATCGGTTTGAAATACCCCTTTTTTGGACACTCAAAGTTGCTTCACATGTCATTCACTCCATACATGGTGGAGATAAACTACTACTGTAGCCACAGCTGCCCTGGGGCACACTGACAGAAGCGAGTCAACTAGTATGTGCCAGCAGCCCCTCGGACCAACACCAACCATTCACACACACTCATTCTAGGCAATGGGGGTGAAGTGTCTTGCCTAAGGACACAACGACAGCAGACATCAGTGGGAGTCAGTGTCGCCCCAAATGGTTTTGTCCCATTGGTAAATCGTGTTTTAAGACTGTCAGAATGAACTCAAACTAAGATAAAAACCCCTCGATTCAAGCTATTATTACCTCATATTTTATCATTTTTAGAAGTGTACATTGGTCCCTTCTTTATAGCCGGGGCCTGGATTCGAAAAAGTGGAGTTTACATGTTTTCCCAGTGCCTGCAAAGGTTTCCTCCGGGTGCTCCAGTTTCCCCTACCACTAAAAACATGTACAATAGGTCTGAATGATTGAATGGATGGTGTTGAATGGAGGCTTTGATGGTCCAGTGTGTTCGGCGTCTCGCTTCCATCATTTCTGTGTGTGAAGGGAAAAATATCTGGTTTCTGAACATTGTAAAAGTACTTTGGGTGACCTTGGTCTGTAAAATGCGCTATACAAATTACTTACTTACTTGCGTTCTGAAAATAACCCGTAATAAGTCCTCTAACCAAATCATCACGGTGCACACAAGCCACAAAAGTGAAAAACTGTCATGTTATACCAGCGGCTATATGACTTCAATTCAATTTATTTTATTCTTGTATAGCCCTAAATCACAACAGTAGTTTTCTCGAAGGACTTTGCAAAACCGTTGGTCCATAAGTGGCAGAGTGTCCATAAATGTTGAAAAAGTCCATAAATGTCGGTGAATGTCGGGTGTCCTCGATCATCACCACTGTCCTTAGACCCTCCTGCATTGGCAAGAAACAAATCTAAAAAATATATATTGTTGGAGTTTACATGCGGCACTAAAAACTAAAATTACACTCAAAAAATGTGCCGAAGGTGATATGAGGCTGTGAAAGGTTACAGAGAGAGAGAACATGGAATTATAATCAAGTTTATTGAGTCATGTTTGCATGTAGTGTGTTGTTACTGCAGGATTAGACACTTAGACAATAATTTGTGATTTATGGCGCTCGGTACATGTCATGTTGGATACGGTTTGGGTGCGTAGACTCTGGAGGAAATATATAAGTGGGGGGAGTTAAAAAGAGAGCTTGAAAGAGATAGATACCACTGGAGACACATGCAGTCTTGATGGTGTCTTTGGATTATTATTATTATTATTATTATTAGGGATTTTGGATCAGGAATCATCTCGTAACAAGTTTAAAAACAGAGGATTTGGACAAAGGTACAAGCTTCACAGGCGGTTAGATGGTCCGACTACAGACATCAGTGGAAAAATAAAATCTTGTATCTTGGTGCATCATGGTCTGGTTTTTGTTATACCCACTCGTCCGTGTTAGTTGTTGGGGTTAGAGCTATACCCGTTTCTGCAAGGTTTTTTTCAAGTTGAATGTTTAGCACCGCTCCCCAACTCGCTCACAGGCTTCTCATTTCCCCCACGCTCTCCTGCCACGGAGACATCTAGTCAGGCAAACATTAGCATGAGCGCAACTTCTTGTAAGCTGTACAACAATCACTGATGGAATGGTACAAAAACAACGCACTGCTAACAAAATATAGAACTGAAAGATTACCGCTAGTTTCGCGTCCAAATGCGGTCCGAGGCAGTCCCGCAGGTCTCTCCAGAGGATACGATGTAAGCTAGCGCTACGTATATCCACCCGGGCTTGATTTCTTCTTTGATCATTTTTTTGCTTTAATTCCCTCTTCTCCTTCTTACTTTTGCAGTTATGTCTGCAGTTACAGCCGGAGGAGCTATAGCCACTTTCTGCTAACATGCTAATGTGTTTACTTGTACTGTAGGCGCTAGAGGAGGCAGCCTGTTCGTAACAGCGCCGCTCCTCGTTCTGTGATTGGAGGAGAGCTAGCGTCTACTCAGCACTATTTACGGCCTGAATTCATACACAGCTGAATCAATGAGCTCAAGCTTTCAATTAAAATTACGAATTTGAATACAAGTTGTATGTAGTAATATGCATTTTTATGAACTCATTAGAAAATAAATCGGATATAGCTTCTTTAACTCCTGTCCTTCCCCTTCTTTTGTTTTGCCCCATCGTCCATTCATTATCCTTCCCACGTCTCGACCCAGACCCTCCCCAAATCAAACTTTTTTGTAAAATGTTCTCTCTCCTCTGTGTCCGTGCAGGTGAAGGTGTGGTTCCAGAATCGCCGGACGAAGCACAAGCGTCAGAAGCTGGAGGAGGAGAGCCCCGAGCAGCAGAAGAGGAAAGGCACCCAGC